GTTTTTTTGGCCGGTCTATCACCAACATAAGCCAATCAGCTAACCAGTATTTTCGCCGCTTCCCAAAATTACTTCAACGGAAGGTTTCCAGATGGATATGCGGAGCAAATCCATCTGGCGGAGTCAGGTTATATGTTGCCATCTTAAACAACTGCAAGTTTATTGGTATTTTTAGCTTAATTAAAATAAAAATGGCTCTAAAAAACATATTTCAGATTCTCTTGATGTCGTTCTTTTGTGATGATTCAGTTCAAATATTATTTATAAAAACCACTAAAGCTCCTAAGACTGGTGTTTGTTATTAAAATATATGAGTCAGTTCTTTATCTCCTTTTAGCCTCTACTAAGAGCCATTACAAAGAGTCCAAAGAGCCCCGTGAAGCTCTGCAGCCACAAGTTGAAACCCCTCCTCTAAGGAAACGACTCAGACCAAACAGATGTTCTTTTTTTTCCTTTGAGATTCAGGTTTTAACTCGGCGTTGTGCTGGTGATGTTGCAGCGACCCCTCTGTTGCTATAGAAACCACTCACATCCCTGGGGATTCATGGAGGTGACGGAGAAACGGGAGGCATGCACGTCAAAATCATAAGTCCAAAGGAACTGTAAGAAAAACAAAAATAACACTGAAACATAAAACAAGGCAAAATAAAGCACAGTCAACATGTGAAAAATAAAAGAAAAATTAAAAAAAAGCACACAACATAAACTACTGTTTAAATCAATTAAACAAAACAAAACCCTTTATGGCTATGAAGCTGCGCTCAGGTGACTCACGTTGTTTAGATGAGGATCTCTCAATTATTATCCCCTTGAAAAATAATTTTCAGCAAATGAACACTTTCTATTCATTTATTTCTAATGAACTATTATGATGTATAATGTGTGATTCATCGTTTATTAACTCTTGCTTAAGATTGTTCCAGATAAAGGTCATGCAACGGACGGGTTGTGAAGGAGACCTGAACATCCTCTATCACATGTTTCTTCTAAACATGTGTTCTTGGAACAATTCAATTGTAAAACAACCACATGCTTTGTTTTAACATATGTGCTGAGGTTTAAAGTTAGATCCTTTTGTTTCCCTTTCCCTTTAGTTAAACCTCAGTTGGTGTAATTAGGGACATCCCCTTTTCTTCAATAAATGGCAAGGAGAAAGCTGAAGACTGCAGAGTGGGGTGGAGATTGTAAACTCTGCAGTCTCTTCCTACTCTCCTAACTAAATTATTGTTTCTGTGCCTTCTTTCTTTCCCTGTATGTATGTATGATGTTCTAGGTGCTTAGACCTGACACTATTATTTAATGAAATAAAGAAAAGATGTCAGCTAAAGCTCTACTAAAGCCCTGATACTCAAAGTTAGGGTCCTTGAGGAACCAGTATTGGGTCTTGAGATCAACAACAGAACATAATCTGAACAATTAACATTTACTTTAAGTGCTGAAAGAAACAAAAGCTTCGCGTAATGATCGCCAATACCAAAGAGTCGACCATTCTGTGGGTCAGATGCTGAAAGGTTTGGTGATATCTCTATTAAAGCATGTTAAAAACATAAAAAATAACCTATATTTTCTTTTTACAAATAATAGAATTATAAAATTTTTACCATATTTACTTAAATACACGATAACAAATCTTACACCCAGTATCAGATCAAGGTTTTGGTCACAGCAAGGTCCTGACAGGCCTGTAGTTGGGCTACTTTTGGTGACTGTCGCTACAGATTTAGGCCTTTTACATGAGCAGGGGAAGAACATTATTGTGTTTATTAAACAAAATTTTACGTTTCACATTTTTTTTTGTTATTCAATGTCTGGGATATGCCCTGCTAAAAAAAAAAAAAAAAGGTATACTCGGAAAACATATAATATCTAAATTAAAAGAAAGATCCTGCAAAACAATAAATAGCAAAACATCTTATATATAACAGCCCATTCTAAAGGAGTGGACCCCTTCATTAGGTTCAATTTGTATGCTTTCTAAGCCAAAAAACAAGGCTTTGCTTTGGTCTCCTCAACGCTATTTCTGACAATTTGAATTGAAAAAGCTTCCTGGATGGGAAGCGAAGCGTCTTCAATCTTGGAAAAAAAGTCCAGTGGGTTGTTTTTATTACTTTTTTGGAACAAACACCTTATATCCCATAACTGAACATAAATTCTTCGACATTTTAAAACAAACAGTAGCTAGAATTGAGGTAATTTCCCTGAGAACTTAGTCACCCAGTTAATTTTTTGGCGAGGTCACTGATAACTATCAGAATCAGAATCAGAAATACTTTAATAATCCCAGAGGGAAATTACTTTTGTTACACGCTCTAGTTACAGTTTTACATGATATATACACACATCCGACTATACAATATAATAAAGATAAAAAATAAGAATAAAAAGAGATAAAATATGTATACACATATAGCTCTTCTGTATATATATCTGTACGTATATCTATGTATATGTAAAAACTAAATCCAAATAAAGTGAAAAGTCCAATTAAAGTGAATAAATAGGTGTATAGCCTAATCATTTTATTGTGGTCTCACTTCTTTCATGCAACATTTATTTGATTTAAAAATAATACCTTTAAAATATCACTGACGCGTGTCTACTCCAGTCAGACGACTCTACATTTGACCAACTTTAAAATCTCCTCAGCTCACGTAAATTATGTGAAAGACACTGAACGCAACGCACGGATGTCAACACACCGCGCCAGCCGTGACTGCGCTAATAAGCCGAAACAACTCTGTTTACATTCAATAAATACATGGAGCAGCTCTGGTGAGAGGAATAAAAGAGTGAAACGATAAAGAACACCGACTACGCCCTGACTTCCTTTCATGTTGCTCTCCATTGTTTACTCTCCTGATTTCTGTCGCACTGGTGACATCATCAACGCTAACCCACAGTGATGATGTCACCACACACGCAGCGGCCAATGAAAATATTATGTAACGTTATTGGGCTTAAAAACTCTGAATCAAATAATTAAATCATGTTTTTTTGGCCTCACTTAAGTTTTTTTTTTTTTTTTTTAGTTTTTATTCAAAAGTTTAAATGCAGGATGTTTCTTTGGCATCTCTCTAAATAGCCTCTGATAGTTTAGTTTAGAGCTAAACATATGTGCGACATCATCCTCATTTGTATGTTTTTCTAACCAATTACGGAAAAGATACAATGTTGGTCTTCATGTGGACAAGGCCTACGTTATGTCCTTTTAGCTGAAAAATATCTTTTTACGTTTGCAATGATGATCGTATTTTAAGGGAGAACGTAGGGCTGCAGGTGTTGATTATTTTTACAAATTGATTAACCAATCGATTATCGTTTTTTAACTAATTAGGTACTATAAACACAAACATTTAGTAAATTAGCATTAATAATTCTATAAACAAATGTTTTACATTTTGGGGGGATGTTTTCAAGTAATTGTAAATTTGAAACAACCGGTAAATAATCTCAAATAGTTAGTTGATTATTTTCCTGACTAACATGTTATTAGTAGTGCAGCAAACGGTAGTTAATAGGAGATTTTTTTTTTAAACATTTAAACAAGATGAAGCTAAAATGTAAAAACTCTACTGCTCCTGGATACACATTTATAAACATATATTTTTTTCTGTTTTTAGCTTAATCGCTACATTGAGATGGTTTTCCTTCAGCAGACATTTTTTTAGAGTCTGAATATTCCAGTTAATGATTCAATTTCGACATTCGTTGAAGATTAATTATATAACTCATGGATTAATCCTCTCAGCTCTAAAGTCAGGCATACACTGTGCGGTTTTTTGCCCTTTTCGGACCGATTATCCAGTCGTGCAAGAATTTTTCGATCTACTACTACTCTGGCAATATTTTTATTTTTGGGAAACTATTTGATGCAAGAGAAGCCGTACCACCGAGCCTCCGTGTGTCTTGCGTCGTATAGTGTACAGGAAGTAACGAGGTCAATTAGCATCCCATGACCACCTCCCGATCAGGAATCGTAAGGTCGGGAGAAAATCAAACATGTTTAAAATTCATTCGGCCGTCAAGAGGTGTTTGTGGAAAAAAATCCTGCTGTTGAAGCAGAACTACGAGTCGATTTACCTGAACTTCGAGCGCTGTGCATGTGCAAACAAGTAAGTTCTTCTCCTCCTTCTTGATGAGTCCGATATTAGCCATGGTTTTTGGACATACAGTGTAAGCAGGGAGATTGCATCAGAGCGCCGGGCCGCACGTGTTAGAACATGCATCATGAGCTTGGAACTTTTAAACCCTGCGATTTAGTCATACACTTTAGGCTGTAGCTGCATGCAACGATTGAAAATATCGCACAATGTATTAGAGACTGTATTGGCAGCTGCAGCTTCCTGAAGCTGCCCTCAAACAACCATAATGCTACGTTCACACCGGACGCAGCAGGTGCAGCAAAATCACGTCAGCTGCTTTATTTTTGCTGCTTGTACCAGTTAGTTCTGACACGCGGCTGAAGCATCTTTGCTGCTCTGGCTGCGCGGTGCAAAAGTGTGTCTGACGCGCGTTGGGCGGAGCTACTCTATCCTTTCTTTGCCTTGCAGCTATATTTGCTGTGATCAGTGGGAATAAAGTAGTTTTAATATGTTTTTTAGTGAGAAAATACACCTGAAAACGTAATCAGTGTAGTCAGTTCATCCAGATTACCATCCTGCCTTCCAATATTATTTCTGTCGGAGCCGCTCAGACCCCCACATACCAGCGGTGCGCCGACAGTAGGAATCCCTTTATCAGCAGCCTCTGGCCGGGTCGCCTCCTCGCGGTTCACCACGGCGGCTGGTAGGTGTTTTTCATCTAAATAATCTAAACTGCACCAGGACAATAAAAGCGAACATATTCTGCTGGCAGATTTCTGCATTTTAAGTTAATTTATGCGTCAATAAACTATTTCAGAGGAGCGATCATAGCGCTCTGTGTCATCAGCGATGTGTCTCTCCCTGCCAGCTCCCAGATCAGCTTCTCTGATTGGTTGGCGCGGCGCGTCGAGCAGCAAAAGTTCAATGTTTCCATCTGGAGCAGCGGCGCGTTTGCGGCGCGTCAGATGCTTAAACGCTCCCGACGCGCTGCGCCTGCTGCTCAGACACGCTGCGGGACATTTTGCTGCGCGTCGACCATTGACTTTGCATGTAAACTCGCTGCTTCTGCAGTGCCTGCTGCGTCCGGTGTGAACGCAGCATTAGAATGAGATTAACTAAGAGCCACTGAAACAGTCATTCATATTTCTGACATTTAAACAAAAGAAGAATGATTTTCTCCTAATTTCACCTGAATAACTTATAAGTTAAAGTAGCTAGTTACTACAGCAGGTTGCATTTCTACTGGGCTGCAACATATTTATCCGTCCTTTAAGACGAGTGAACCCTTTTGTTGCTACAGCAAAGAAACAAATGTCAGCAGATGTTCTGGAGGCAACTGAAAGAAGCGCTGCTTCCGCTGGAGTCAGGTTCCTCTGACTGAGCATGATGGATGGAAAAGAGAACGACGCCAGAGGGACATCGACAGGAGGAGAAGAACGAGAGAGTGAAAGTACGGCCCGCTCAATATATTGGCTGACTAAGCAGGAGAAAGAAGATGACTGTGGAATAAAAGGCAGGCAGGAGAGAGCGGCATCCAGAGTTTCACTCAGTGACGCACGTCAGAGCATCAAATATTCATCTCACTGCTGCAACAGACGCAACGCAACACTGCAGGAGGAGTGACGGGAAGAAATGAAGGAGGAGAAGGTGAAGAAAGGAGAGGTGGAGCAAGGAGTATATCTGAGAGCTTTGGAGGTTGGAGGAGGTGGAAAATGAGGATGAAGATGGAAAAAAACAAATGAAAGAGGAGGAGGGACAGAACAGCAGTAGATGGATGCACCTCACGTACTCACTGAGCTAAAAATAGCTCACAGTTCAGTCTGACAGAAAGGAAATAAACGCCAGATGAAGCAGAAGACACCCACTGCAGGGGCGCACCTCCATCCCCGACAGACTGCAGCTCTTTCTACAAACCACTGAAAACATTTAGATGCATTTTAAGCTTTTCATAAGGAAGCAGCTTCCGAAGCGGAGCTCAGTCCGGTTCCATCCCAGAACCATCTCTGAGACTCTGTATTGATCCCAGCGGTTCAGGATGTCAGGCAGGAAGGACGAGACAGTAATGCGATGAGATGCTGCAGTGCAGCAAACACACCCACCTCACAGGGAGGAGGGGGAGTCCTTTACAATATCAATAAATACATTAATAACTGTATTCTTTATTGAAGCACCGGACCGTTCCTCGCTTCACCACTTAGATAAATACTTTAAGGTCAGATTGGGTTTAGCTTTCCAGTCAGCGCATCAATAACTGTACATCACTTATGATTTTTCTCATTCTTGATTCATAAAATCTAGATTAGAATGTTTATTTCACCTTAAAATAATAATTGTTCCTTTAATGACAAAAATAATTTGTAATTTGGTCTCAGCAAACATAAATCTAGTCAGATGGAATGAATGAGAGGAGAAAAATACCAATTTCAGGACTCAAAAAGGCCGAGCTCTGCTGCTGGAGCATAAAAAACTGTTATTATTAACAAGGCAAAGTTAAAAAGAAGCAAGAAATAATGTGTTCAACAATGGTAATAATGATATTTTTAGGATGTTCCCATTTATGTGGACATGTAGATGTAGTAATAAAAGGTTCCACCAAACAAAAAGTGAAATCTGTCTCATGAAATCATTCAATGTCTTGATTTGACATCATCAGATGCAGCATAATGCTACGTTCAGAACGCAAGTGCTGGAAGCAGCAAAAAACCTTCGTCTGCTTCCTTATTGATGCTTAATCACATTAAGGTCAGATGTGCTTCAAGTGCATCTTTGATGCTACTAAAGAGCATCCAGTAAAGTGTGTCCAGATGCGTCTGATGCTTCTGCTTCTCCTGTGTTCAATGGCAGAGAGCAGCTTTG